ACAAAAGTCAATAATCTAGAAAATAATGAAGAATAGGAAATGGTTTTTGGTACTTAGTTTTTCTGTGTGCAAGCCAGGAAGCAATCTATAAAGTACAAGGGTGAGGTGGGTTGAATTTGGAGGTGAAGCTGGGCAAGGAGGTCTCTATCATACCTCTTAGAATCCAAGTATCCTTCAATTCATTCACCTGACTCAGGCCACCAAGAATCATGCCTCAGAATCTGTTCTCATTATTGTAGCTGATAGCCAAATTTGGGTCTCACCACATAAGTATATCAAACCTAAGAAGTTCTAGTAAAACAAACTTATGGAACTTTTGTTTCTTGTGATGCCTCATTAATCTGTGTGTGGGGAGGGAAATTAAAAGAGGAAGGTTTTTTTTTTTTTCTCTTTTGTCCTGCTGATCAGTACACATTGTCACCCCATGCACAAACATCTCAAATCCCACAATTCCTGGAGTTCAACATTAGTGAGACTGTTTTTACTTTTAGTCATTTGTACCATGGATTGAGAATTTTCTCAAAGTCATCATCCATCAGAACGTTTATTTAAGGTCTTCCTAAAGTAACAAACAAAAAATCCTGAGTCCCTCAGTCAGTTCCATCTCTAATCTCATCCTTTAGTCAGGAATACAGGCATGCAGCTATGACATGGATTAAGAATAAAAGATGGGATGGTGGTTCCTCAAAAGCTCACACATAGCATTATCATGTAACAATTCCACTTCTGGAAATATACTTTTCCCCCCACAAAAATGAAAGCAATGACTCATATATTTGTACACCAATGTTCACACCAGATTATTCACAATAGGCAAAAGATGGAAGTAACCCAAAATGTGGTATATACATATGATGGAATATTGTTCAGCCTTAAAAATGAATGAAATTCTGACCCATGCTACAACATGAGTGAATCTTGAAAACCTGCTAAGTAAAATAAGCCAGACAGAAAAGGACAAAAATAGTATGGTTCTATTTATATGAGGTACTGTTTTAGTCAGCTTTTCATGGTGACCAAAATCTGTGACAAAAACAATTTAGAGGAGGGAAAGTTTATTTGGGGCTCATGTTTTCAGAGGTCTCAATCTATAGATGACCAACTCTATTGCTCCGGGTCCAAGGTGAGGTAGAGTATCATGGTGGAAGGGCATGGTGGAGAAAAGCTGCTCCCCTCATGGCAGCAAAGAAGCAGAGAAAGAGATGGAAGAATAATCCCTCCAGGATAGAACCCCTTCTCCAGCCACACCCCACCTGCATATAGTTATCACTCAGTCCATTCAAAGTAGGATGGACTGATTAGGTTAAAGTTCTCACATTCCAATCACTTTACCATCAAACACTCCTGTATTAATGCAGAAACTTTTGGGAGACATCTTCTATTTAAACCATAACAGGCACCTATTAGTCAAATTCATAGCTATAAAGTGCAATGTGGTTGCCAGCGGCTTGGGGGAGAATAGGATGGGAGATACTTTTTAATGGGTTCAAATTTTCCATTTGGGATGATGAAAAAGCTCCAGAGATGAAAGTGGTAATGGTTTCATTCAATGTGAATATATTTAATACCACTGAACTATATATCCTTAAAATTGGTTAAAAGGGTAAAGCCAACTCATCTATGTTTTACACAATTACAAAAAAAGAAAGAAAGAAAGAAAGCATAAAGCAGAAATGACAAATTACTACCTGATCCATATAGCTATTCACAAGAGAAGGAACTCACAAGAAATTAATCCATGGTGGAGATAGCATAGGAGAAACATCAACACCACTATTCTATTCATAAATAGATTGGACTTTTCCAAGTAGATTAGCCCAAATATCTATTCTTAACAGAGATGCTCACAGGAAAATCTGTTCTCAGACTTCCCAGCAATTCAGGGAGAATCTAAAGGGATCACCTGGAAGTCATGATGGTTCAGGCATCAGAGGACAAAGAGAATAAATGGAGTGTTTAAAAAAGATTGAAGAGTTCCAACATTTCAAAGCAGATAATTTAAAAATTGTCTTGGGAATGGTGGTATTAAAGCAATGTATTTCCTGCTGACCACAGAAAAGATCAGCATCAAAGGAGGGAACTCCTGTTCCATCGACCAGGGGACTTGACAGCAATCTCCTGAGGTTTACAAAAACACAGATGGCCAATCAAAAATTATTTCTAACACTCCCACCCTTGCCAAGCTTATGATAGCAGATTATCTAAATAAGCTGAAGTAAGCCAAAAAATATCAGGGAAAGTTAGGAAGGAAAAAAAGGGGTGAGATTAGAAAAGTTGGCAATGATCTTGAGATGTTTATCAACTATACTTGGGCAAAATATTACACGTACATTTAGATTTTTATAAATTGAACTGTTTGAAAAAATATAAATATTCAAAATAAAAAACTAGACAAATTAGTTGTTATGATTAATTTCTCAATATGGTCTTTTCCCTAAATCACCATCTAGTCCAGGAAGATTTCCCAATTATAAAACATGTGGGAACAATGTTGGTGTTGAGGAGAATAAAGTGGTTAATTATTCATATGTCAATTCTTCACCAGTTTCATCCATCAACATGATCTTCTCACTCATTAGAAAATAAGTGACCTTGGTTTGAAAAAGTTTAAGTCACATATACTTCCAGGTTTCTGTGGGGATTTCAATGGGGCATCAAGTCATATAAATAGTGGGAGCTGTTTAAGAAAATGTTTTACATGAGTGTTTATCTCCAAACACTTCTTTAGAGAAATGGGTTTGAATTTCTCTTGACCACTTTCTACAATGAATTTAGAAATCAACATTTAAAAATTCAATAAAGTATTTTATATTGAGTGTTTAAGGACTAAATAGATTCAATGGTATCCTATCAGCAGAGGAACTTAACAAGGAGCCTACAACTATTTAAACAGCAGTGCAATTTTTTAAAATTTATTTATTTATTTTAATTAGGTGTATATGACAGCAGAATTCATTTTGATTCATATACACAACTACAGCAAAACTTTTCATTTCTCTGATTGTACACAATGTAGTGTCACACCATATGTGCAGTCATACATGTACCTAGGGTAATAATGTCCATCTCATTCCACCATCTTTCCTGCCCCCATACTCCCTCCTCTCCCCCACCTCCCAGAGTTTGCCCAAAGTTCCTCCATTTTTCCCCATGCCCCTGCCCCTCATTATGGGTTAGCATCCACTTATTGGAGAGAACATTTAGCCTTTGGTTTTTTGGGGATTGGCTTACTTTGCTTAGAATGATATTCTCCAACTCCATGCATTATGTAAATGCCATAATTTTATTCTCTTTTAATGCTAAGTAATATTCCATTGTGTATATATACCACATTTTCTTTATCCATTTTTTCTATTGAAGGGCATCTAGCTTGGTTTCACAGTTTAGTTATTGTGAATTGAGCTGCTATAAACATTGATGTGGCTGTGTTACTATAGTACACTGATTTTTAGTCCTTTAGGTATAGACTGAGGAGTGGGATAGCTAGGTCAAATGGTGGTTCCATACCAAGTTTTGTAAGGAGTCTCCATACCGCTTTCCAGACTGGTGGCACCAATTTGCAGACCCACCAGCAATATTTGAGTGCAGCAGTGCAATTTTATTGTAATTTAGAATTCATGAGAAATAACACATGAAATGCAGGAGAATAATCCATTTGGAGTCATCCTGCTACATACCCCAGTTGTACAGCTCTCTATCCATGATTCCATACCTTTAATATCCTTTTCTGGATCTTTCTCAAGGAAAGACTTCCAGGACACAATTCAATCTAGAAGCTCTTCTCCTAGTTCTATAGCACCCATCTGAGAATTTCTCACTGGTGACATCTTGGTTTTGATTTGCTTTTCAGTTTTTAGGTTGTCTTACATATACCTTGGTATTCCCTAGAACTTTCAAAGTATAGGAAATGGAGAATAGATGACCATAATATACCCTCTAGGATTGTGTTTATATACACAAAAAGTATAAAGTGTGTAACTAGCATGATCACTTATTTCAGATAAAAAGCCAATCAAACTACATTGTCAGAGTAAAGATCCTTCTTAGATTTTTAAAGAATAGACTGACTAAATGTTTCCATTTTCAATTGATTATGCTATTTATGAATAGAGTCAGAGCTTTAGATTTCTCAGATGCTAACAGCTCTACATCAGTGGAATAAAATGATCTTATAGTTGGAACTCTCTGCTTTCTTGCTAATTCCTTATAGATCCTTGAGGTTAACACTCCTGAAGAACTATAAATTATAAACTAAACTGACTATTCAAAACCAATATTCTTAGGGCTATGTCTCTCTTAAAAACCAAATACATTTAGCTTGAGGATTTCAAAATAATAAAGTTAAAAATAAAGAAAAAATTAATTATATAATTTCTTGATATTGAATCTAAGTATTTCCTAGCATTCACATTCACATGATAAAATTCTTTAAGACCACCTTAGGGACTGCTCTTCTGTGGTTTTAAGGAAAACTGAAATACACTATTTAAAAGTCTAAAGCCTTATTTAGTGGTTATATTTTAATCCTCTGCCTCTCTACTCAACATATGACCATTTTTCCACTTTGGGAGAGTTGTTTGAGATCTTCCATGGGAGTCAAAGGAAGACTCTCTTAAACAAGTCATTATCCTACTTTGGTGGAGTTAGAAAAACAAAATCTAGACAGACATCATCCAAAATAATCTCTTGGAAATATTTTGTTCACTAGTTTCATAATTATGAGGGTTTGGTTTTCTTTTTTAATGTAGAAAACTTGAAAGCAAGATATTAAAGTCAAAGCAATGCAGGCATTTACAAATAGAATAAATTACACTGGCAAAACACTTAGCAGTGGAGAGATTTACAAAACAGCATTGCAAAACAGAGTAGAGGTGTACTCATCAACCAGTGGCTAAACAAATGCTTTATGTATTCCACATATTATGTCCAATTCTAAAATTAATCTACAGAGGCATCATAATGGCCATGAGCATGAGCTACAGAATCAGAATACCTGGAGTTCTTGGTTACCTATTCTTCTTTCTTGGGTGGTGGTGGTAGTGGAGGGGGGGAAAGCTACATTTCCCAGCCTCCTTTGCAGTTAGGTATGGCTATGTGACTGACATCAGGTCAATGGACTAAAGCCAGCATGATAGAAGATCTGGCACAATATCATTCTATGCACCATTCTCCAGACTCTTTCTGATGATCCAAAGGCTTATGAGATAGGAGGAGCCTGAGATCCCATATCATCATCTAGAGGAGAGTCCTTTGCCAATCAGAAACCTCAATTTTGTGTATGAGGTGAGTTCTCAATGTGAACGAGAACTACACTACTATTGTGTGTGATCAACTATGCATTTGAGAATTTGCTTGTTGTAGCAATTGCTGTTATCTTAACCATTACTGGTTTATTCCAGGGTTCTGTGTTTATTAGTTGTGTGAACTCTGTTGGTTCCTTAACAGGACCCTACATCTGTGGATAAAACAGTAGCATTTATCATAAGGTTGATAAAGACTATATGAGAAAATACATGCAAAGAAAGTATATCTCAATAAATGTAAATATTGCTGCTCAACACACACATACACAGCCCTAGCATAAATATTGTACAGCACAATCTCTAGTACAGATTATTATATATCCCAGAATTGGGAAACTGTTTCAAAAGTTTGTCAGTCTGCAAAAATAGAACAAGATATTAGAGGAGGGAGTATGGGGGTAGGAAGGATAGTAGAATGATCAGACATTATTACCCTATGTACATATATAACTATATGACCAGTGGGATTCTACCTCATGTACAACCAAAAGAATAAGAAATTATACTCCTTCTATATATGATGTATCAAAGTGCATTCTGTTGTCATGTATAATTAATTAGAACAAATAAAAAGTATTTTAAAAAATTAGTTGCATAACTGAAGATACTAATATTTTTAAGCCAATACTTTTGATGCTACTGTTTTGCTACTACCAACAAAATAATTGCTGATTATTACTAAAGGCTTTGTGTATACTAGTATGCTGTATCATGAATCTTAAAGGCTCAAAAACAATAAGCTCAATATGCTTGGATGCTACTGACAAAACCAAAGTGGTAGAATGCTGAGAAACTGCCTTCTAATAACATGTAACATTGTTGGGAAGACAAATAAAACCATATGAAATGATTAGAAAACCATGAATGCAAAAATACAAATTTGGGGGGATTTAATTCATACCTTAACATGTAGAGACCTCAAAGTGACACCGAATTAAGTCTACATTGCCCCATAAGCTCTGGTTTCCATTAGTTCTGAGTTGAAATATCTCCTGCTGTGTCCTTTGCTCCTTCTTCTCCCTGTCTACTACCTCCTTGCCATTCCTCAACCTCACAGCATGCTCCAGCCTTCGGACTATATTACACATGTCTTCTCACTACAGAAAGTTCTTTCAGCATCAGTGTGGCCCACTTGATCACTTCTGATGGATTCTTACTCAAAAGGTCCCTTCTCATGAAGATTTATCCTGGCTACCCACTGTGTTTCACTACCCACTACCCTTTCCACTCCAGTGTTTCATATATCCTACCATCATGTACCCATCAACCTATTTTGTTTATTTCTCTCATTCATTGCCTGTCTTTCCCCACTGGAACATAAAATTCCTGAGGACAGAGTTTCATCTGTTGGTTCACTATTTCTTCTTCAGCACCCAAAAGACAGCCTGCACATGATAGGAGTTCAGTATATTTGTTAAGTGAATGAAGGATTCATGGACAGAAGATGTTGGGGAGGGAGAATAATTGAAAGAAAACTACAAATTAGACATTTTAAAAATATTTATTTATTTATTTTTGCATTACGATTCTTAATATACCATTATACAATAATTTATCATATCTCTGATTAGATATAAGGTATGTTGACACAAAATTCACATCTTCATACATGTATTTTGGATAATGATGAGGGTCTCCTTTCACCATCCATGATATTCCCCTTCTTCCTCCCTTTCCCTCCCACCCCTATTCCCTATCTAATCTTCCTCCCTTGCTCTCCCTCCCAACCCCATTTTGAGTCACCCCCCTTATATCAGAAGACTTTCGGCATTTTATAAAATGTTTAATTTATATTAGACATTTTAAAAATTATTAATTTTATATTTTTTAACTTTTATATTTTGTAGTTTTTAAGTTTGCTATAAATTTTTGAAGAGATTTGTGTCAATTAAATCATCAAAATGATATTAAAGTTGTGGACATTAGATCTCTGAAAATAACAACCTACATGTTTTCCAAGACTATTATAAAACAGAGAAATAGTGTAATCTGATTATTAGTTGTTCATTTATCATACACAATTGTGCTTCAGCACACCTATTACTTCTTTCAGAAGGAGATCATTAGAGGCGTCAGCAATCTAAATATTAGTCAAGCACAGACTGTAAGCTTTCTGCATCTGTTGTGTTATACTGTAATAATGAAGCTTTGAAGAGTTCAAACCTAGAAAAAATATGAACAATACCAGGGCAAATTTGTTGTATTGGCATGTTCCCTTCTGAAATGCAGGACTGCAGCCCAGTAAAATGCTAGTGTGCTAACCTCAATTTTACATTAGTATGTACTTCAGAGGAGACACCTCTTTTCTTTACTATTTTCTCTTCTTCTGTTAATTCTACTTTATTTTTCAAATTGCTGAGTCCTAGACAACTTCTACTTTTTTCATACACTGGCAGTGTCACATGCATTTTCTAAATACAATCTACAATAATGTGCATGTTTTATAGAATAAAAATCCACTTAACTATAGGTTAAGTGTCTCTTTTGTGTTTATCATTATGTGACTTGGGCAATGAAAATTTGGTTCTGTGAAATGATACTGTGGGCTGAGCACACCTTACATTCTCACAAAGTAAATTCTTCATCAGTCCTTTTACTGGTACAAACATGATAGACCGTAAGCAGCCAATTTCATAAAGATAGGCTGGGGAAGTGTGTCTGGCTAGATTTAATGCCTTGTTTTTATTGGGGATTTTATTTTTTCTCTTTAAAGAGTGGAATCAGAATATATTGCCACCCCCATCCATTTCCCAGAAGTTCCTGCCCACAGCTTTCAAAAGCAGTCTTTCAAGGACACACATTTTGTGAATAACTATATTCTGAGCATTCTCTGTGTGCGGCATTAAATTTGGAATGTAGTAACTGCTCTAAAAATAATCTGGTCTTCAGACCTCATCCTGAAAGCAGATGTATTCTATGAGCTGACAATTTTCATGAACCTTCTAAATATTGTCTGGAATACTATATATATTTTTACAAAATAAAAAGCCATTAATTATTGCCCAAAAGATCTAGTAATCGCTTTCTAAGCCTGGATAACTTTGGGGCAATGTGAAATAAGGACTGTGGGTCAGATGATCTCTAGAGGATCCTTTCTGAGTTTTGAGATCCCTAATGCTGATTTTATTTAACTTTCGCATACATTGTTAATAAATTAAAAAATGAGTATTTATTTCTATTCCACCACTGTCTTACATTAAAAGTAAATAGGCCGGAGCAATCTGAAGATTCTCAAGTTCAACCTAACAAATCAGAGATATCAACAACATGAAGAATCAATTCCATATGTTTGTCATTTTACTGTATGCAACCCCTACCTTGTTTTCCACATTTAAAACAAGTATGCCATAAAAGATCCGTTGGCAAATGTGGAAAAAAACACAATGACAGCACTATGGTAAATTTCATTGTTAGCACCAAAACAGGGCTATATAAAGGGCAAAAAGTTCTATTGTTCTCAAATAAAAATATCATGTCCAAGGAGCCTTAAAATAAGATTAAAATACTCTCTGATGAGAACAGCATGTTGTTTCAGGCTCACGGTCACTTTTGTTTCTTCTTTTACCATGCCTACTGACACCACATTTCAGTTAGAGGGAACATCAGACAAGAGGTCCCTCCTATTTTTAGCTTAAAAGCCCTATGAGTGAACCCACGTAAACACTGCAAGCCTAACAGTAACTATTATCCCACCTCTCACATGGAGAATTATCATGAATATTCCCTTTGCTAAAGGTGATAAAAGCTCTCCACTATTTAGCACATATTTATTCTTCACTTCTTATAGAAGAACAGAAGAATGAAACACACATGGATCTTTCTGTAAAGGCAATAAATGTCTTTGTGGAATATAGAAACTAGGTCCTTGTGAAATCTTAACAAGTCCCCATCTTTACATGCTTTAGTTTCCATAGTACTTTTACATTGATGGGATCTCAAAATACCCTATCAGGTAGAAGGATGTATTCTATACCTATTTTTCAACTGGAAAAAAAAAACACACACACACACACAAAAGGCAAGTCATAGAATGGTTACGTGGCTTACTATGGTCAAAGCGGAAATGGAAAAACTGAGATGTGAATGAATGCCTCTGGACTCCAAATTTAGGGTTTTCTTTATGCCCACAAAGCCTTACTTTGAAGAAGGATGTTAAATTGAGCTCTGTTTCACCTTTCACTGCAGGTGGCCTATGATGAAGCAGTTTTTCAGGGTAAAATAAAGCATGCTCAAAAAAGCTAGTGTTGCAGATTTTAATAACCAATTTCAGAATGAGTTTTAGTCAGTTTCTTGCTGCTGTGACTAAAAGACCTGACAAGAACAATTTTTTTAGTCTGTGTTAAGATATCTTTATTGGACTACATGCCTTTTTTTATTATTAGTTGTTCAAAACATTACAAAGCTCTTGACATATCATATTTCATACATTTGATTCAAGCAGATTATGAACTCCCATTTTTACCCTGTATACATATTGCAGATTCACATCGGTTCCACATCCACTTTTTTACATACTGCCATACTAGTGTCTGTTGTATTCTGCTGCCCTTCCTATCCTCTACTATCCTCCCTCCGCTCCCCTCCTTTCTTCTCTCTCTATCCCATCTACTGTAATTCATTTCTCTCTCTTGCTTTTTTTCCTCTTTCCCCTCACTTCCTCTTATATGTAATTTTGTATAACAACGAGGGTCTCCTTCTTTTACCATGCAATTTCCCTTCTCTCTCTTTTTCCATCCCCACTCTCGACCCTGTTTAATGGTGATCTTCTTCTCATGCTCTTCCTCCCTATTCTGTTCTTAGTTGCTCTCCTTATATCAAAGATGACATTTGGCATTTGTTTTTTAGGGACTGGCTAGCTTCACTTAGCATAATCTGCTCTAGTGCCATCCATTTCTCTGCAAATTCCATGATTTTGTCATTTTTTAGTGCAGAGTAATACTCCATTGTGTATAAATGCCCCATTTTTTTTATCCATTCATCTATTGAAGGGCATCTAGGTTGGTTCCACAGTCTAGCTATTGTTAATTGTGCTGCTATGAACATCGATGTAGCAGTATCCCTATAGTACGCTCTTTTAAGGTCTTCTAGTCCGAGAAGGGGAATAGCTGGGTCAAATGGTGGTTCCATTCCCAGCTTTCCCAGGAATATCCATACTGCTTTCCATATTGGCCTCACCAATTTGCAGTCCCACCAGCAATGTACAAGTGTACCCTTTCCCCACATCTTCGCCAGCACTTGTTGTTTGACTTCATAATGGCTGCCAATCTTACTGGAGTGAGATGGTATCTTAGGGTGGTTTTGATTTGCATTTCTCTGACTGCTAGAGATGGTGAGCATTTTTTCATGTACTTGTTGATTGATTGTATGTCCTCCTCTGAGAAGTGTCTGTTTAGGTCTTTGGCCCATTTGTTGATTGGGTTATTTGTTATCTTATTGTTTAAATTTTTGAGTTCTTTGTATTCTCTGGATATCAGGGCTCTATCTGAAGTGTGAGGAGTAAAAATCTGTTCCCATGATGTAGGCTCCCTATTTACCTCTCTTAAGAACAATTTTAAGTAGAAAAAGTTTATTTGGGCTTCACAGTTTCAGAAGCTTCAGTCCACAGATGGCTAATTCATTCCTCAGGGCCCAAGATATGGCAGAGGAAAGTAGTTCAGGACATCACACCAGGAAGCAGAGTGAGAACTCTACCCAACAAAGACAAAATATATACTCCACAGGCCCCCAGGGACTTACCTCATCCAGCCACACCCTACCTGCCTTCAGTTACCACCCAATTAATCCCTATCAGGGGATTAATGCACTGAATAGATTAAGGCTCTCATAACCTCATTACTTCACATTTTTTCTTGCATTGTCTTACACATCAGCTTTTGGGATAGATCTCATATCTAAATCTAACAGAAGAACTCTAGGTTTAAGCCTGAACTCTGCTGCTAATGGACTGAATAATCTCTAGACAAGAAATTCACTAGCTTTGGATCTTGGCATTCTTACAGGTAAAAATAAAAACCTGGACTTAATTATATCCAGGGTCCTATCTGATTGTGACATACTACATAGTTTTATCTTAGAATGTCCCTATAAATGTTTAAATAATTTTTTAAAAGTTCATGTCTCTAAATTTTCCTAGAATCTGGTTATTGCATTTTTTTAAATTAGCCCTTCTAAGATCTAATTAGAGTCTCACTTGGTCTTGGAAATCTGTCCCACCTTCTTAGATTCAACCTAACCCTAAAAGGCAGTGTTCTGAGAGGGTAATCTGAAGACCACCTACCAAAGCTCACCATACCAAAGTATCCCAGGAGGCTAGATTTTTCAGCCTTCCTTGGGGACTTGTACTTCCACTTCTACCAGGGCAAAGCCTGTATGAAAATACATCTGTGATTCCATAATGTTAATGGTGCACACTGAGATGGTAGAGACATTTAAAACTCTGATTTTTAAAAATATTATTTAATAACATGTACTATTTTATGTAAAATAGTGAAACAAAAAATCAGTATATGTGATTTCATGTAAAAGGATGGTGTAAAGTGATGGTCATCATTATACAAAGTACATGTATGAAGACTTGAATTGGGTGTCAACATACCTTATATACAAACAGAGATATGAAAAATTGTGGTATATATGTGTATTAAGAATTGTAATGCAAAAAAAGTACATGTATAATGGCATAAATTGGCGTGAACATACTCTATTTATATAGATATGAAAAATTGTGCTCTATATGTGTAATAAGGATTGTAATGCATTCCACTGTTGTCATGTATTTTAAAAAATAATAAAATAAATAAAAAATGAAAAAAAAGAAAAGAAAACATACCAAAAAAAATCAGTTACAAAATGTTAATAGTAGATACTGTGGAATAGCTCACTGTATCCTAGGGGAATTCATTTAGTACCAGGACTGGAATTTTTTTCCTTGTCATTTCTTTCCTTTTCTCAATTATGTAGCAGTATGATTTAGTGAGTGTTTAATAAAGCAATATGATCATAACTAATTGATTAACTAATCTATATATTTTTCTTACTTTCCTTATGGCTCTAGACTCATCTGGGACGGTATGACTATGTCTCCACTCTACTCTTTAAGACTACTTAAAAAAAAAAAAGAATGAACATGGTAACTGATGTCCCTACAAGATCCAGCAACAGCATCTGAAAAAGGTGACACTCTTCTCCCTTAAACACATTCTTTCCTTGATTTCTAGCCCATGCTCACCAGGTTCTCCTTCAACATCTCTAGCCACAACTCCTCAGGATCCTTTGATGGCTCTTCTTCATCTCCCCAATTTATAAAGATGGGAGTTCCTAGAAGTTGGGCCTCTTTTTCTTCTTCTTTTTTTTTCTCCATGTTTATATTCTCTCCATTGGTGATCTTATCCAGTTTTGTTTTGTATAGCATTTACATGCTGAAATTCTCAAATATACCTCTCTAATTAAGTCACTTCCTAGTTTGTGACTCCCAAAGTCATGAGTTTTTAAGTGATTAGAAGCTTGAGTACTGGAGTTAAGATTGTGTGTCTAGGGCTGGGGTAGTAGCTCAGTGGTAGAGCACTTGCCTAGCATGTATAAGACACTGGGTTCAATTCTCTACACACATATAAATAAATAAAGGTCCATCAACAACTAAAAAATTTTTTAAAAAAGATTGTGTGTCTGGACTCATTTAGCTACACAACTTTGTAACTGTGGGACCTTAGATCTGTGACTTGACTCAGGCATTTCTTCTCTGAAGGGGCAGGGAGATACTAAACTAAAAGGAAAGAATCTATCTGGGCTCTGCAGAATGAGGGTTCAGTTGATCCCAACTTCTACGCAGATGCTGGGGGCTTTCCCTAAGGTCCATAGGGAAGGGTCTAGGCCACCATTTTCTTGGTAAAGACAGCTGCCTAGTCTCCTCTTTGTAAAGAACTTTCTGGGGAGGTCGAAACATCCTCATTGTTTGTAGTAGGTGAAAATCCAAAACATCAGTTACAGTCTTCTGGTTGGTAAGCTACCAGATAACATTGATATTACTCTTTTCAAGAGCATCTGGTATTTGAAAAGAAATGAAAGGCTAATGTTTAAACAATCATAAAGAGTAAAACTACTATTTGTGTAATGGACTATTTCCTGAGAATCTCAGTTGATCTGTCAGTGAGGAATTTAGGAGGAGTAAAATTAAAAACCAAACAAATTCTTTAAAGAAAGTTTTCCTTGTCAAAATCACCTGCTTTTTGACTTCTTATTGACCAGACCCATGCAACTTCAAAGAACTATTAAGACACTGTGACCTAAATTTCCCTGGCTGACTTCTGCTGGGTCCTGGGAGGTACTCTCTGGAGGAAGAAGAGAGGAGAGGAGAGGAGAGGAAAGGAGGGGAAGGCAGTGTGGCAAACTTACTGCTCTGCCTCATTCCATTCTTAGACATAGTTAGGTACAGGAGCACAAAAAATTCAGACATACTACAATCAAGAAATCTGTTTAAGCCAATTCATCCTGAATGTGAAGGCATGGCATCCTTTAGTACCAGTCATACCTGCAATTATTACAACAAATATTCTCAGACTTTCCTTTATTTGACTCCAAAACTGAATCTCAGTTTTCTGTGCTGGTTTTTTCTCACCTCCCCAACCAGTACATGTTGGAGTGTTCCAGGTATCTCAGTAAGTTGAACCACTTGTTTTCCATTTATTTCATAGAAAAATATCTGTAGTGTGTATAGTGAAGTATCAATTCTACCTCCTCCTCTAGTTACCACTCTCTTTCTTTACTTCCATTTAAGTTCTTTGAAAAAGTTTTTCACACTTGTGACCTCAAATTCTTTCCTTTCTTTCTCCTGCAAACCTCTACCATCATGGTTTTCACCTTGACCTCTGTACTATTCCCCTCTTAACAAAATGGTTTCCAATGTCAAATTCAACTTCCCTAATTTCAAGAGGCCCAGCAACAATCATGTGGTAAAGTTGATCATACTCTCCTCCCTGAAAATAGTTCTTCCTTCAGTGTTTAAAATATTATGCTCATTTTTTCCTTTCTTCTTACCTCTATGATCATGACTTCTTAGTTCCCTTGATTGGTTCTCCAAATTAAAGGAGTTCTTCAGGTCTCTCTTCTCTTGTCCGTATTTACTCCCTTGGTGATATCATTCAAGATTACCAAATGTGTATATATCTCCAGTTTAGTCTTCTCTCCAGACATATGCATCCAACTATCTTCTGGACACGCCCACTCAATACTTAACAGGTATCTCAGAATTAACATGTCTAACAAGATTCCCACTTCTTTCCCTCAAATTTTCCTCCCCTCCACCTAAGTAAATGGCAACCCTACTCTTCTAACTATTTAGACCCAAATCTTAGGAGCCTTTTCTATTTCCCTCATATTTCCATTCAACCTATCAGCAAATTCTAATTGCCTTATCTTAAAAAATACACAGAAGACAACAGCTTCGCATCATCTATATGGCTAATGCTCAAGTCCAGTCATTATTATCACTTACCTGACAATGACCTCCTACCTGCCTCTCTTTCAGCAGCTGGACTAGCCTCTTTTTATTTTTTTGGTGGTACTGAGGATCATACCCAATACCTCACACATGCTAGGCAAGTGCTTTACCAATGAGCTATAGCCCCAGCCCTTTTTTAAAATTGTATTTTGAGACAGGATCTCACTACATTGCCCAGGCAGGCCTTGAACTTTTAATACCCCTGTGTCAGCCTTGTGAGTAGCCAGGATTACAGGTCTTTGTTACCACTCTCAGCTCTAGAGTGGTCCCTTAAAATGCAAGTAAGATCATGTTTCCAGCTACCATCTCAAAGGAAAAGTCAAAATTCTGACAATGACTACATGATCTGGTCCTCCACCGCTATTACAACCCATTAAAACTGACTTCTTCACTGTTCCTACAACATAGCAGGCACACTCCTACTTGAGGGTCTTTGCACTTGCTGTTCCCTATGCCTGGAATGTTCCTGCCTCACTCCCATAAATCTTCCAACACTATTTAAATGTCACCTTCTCAGTGAAGCCTACCTAATACTGTCTTAATCCATCCAGCTTCTATCTCCTTGCCAAGTATATGCCATGATTTATCTTGTTTATTGTTTCCTCCATAAGCATCTAAATCTGCTAGCACAGGGATCCTTGTCTATTTCGCTCATTTTTATATCCCCAGAAAAGCATCTAAATATCGAAGGTACTCAGTAGTGTTTATTTAAAAAATAATTCATGAAAAAGAAGAGATATTGTTTTTTTTTTGTCAAAATTCTTCTCCTAAGCAAACTGAGTTTTTTTTAATAGCAAAAAATTGAAAAGTCAAATAACTCAGGTATCCTTGCTAGTCAGTCATTACTAGCCACTGTAATAAGTTCTTGCTGGTTAAATGAAGTTATAAAGAAATGCATTTTTGTCATCTTTGATGGTAAAAAATCTTATAAATTTTATTTTTTCCCAAAAATATGGCATGCTGAACAAAAACCATAAATTTCTAGATTAAGGAACTTATCATACCTCAGAGGTCTTCAATTTAAAGACTTCTTGTCTGACTATGAACCTTTGAAAACTTGTAGATATTTAAAAAAATATGTATCATAGACATTTTAATGGAGCAGTATAGTTAGTACATTCTAACTATTCAAAATTTTATCTCTAAGAACCATCAATGGAAGAAATTGGAAATTATTGGCTTTCTCATCTATTACAGAGGGCACATTTAAAATACTATTACTCTTTCTATTTCAAGAAAAAGCTGTGTGCAAGTATTTTGAGCATCTCATAACAGCAGTGTTAATATAATCCCCATCCTTAATTAAGTTTCTTTTCATCCCTTCAACACTGCAGCAGACAGTACAATCCAAACATGTAAGTACAGTGATGACAGCTCAAGAGCATAAAAGTAAATTGTCAGTACCTACCACTTATTGTATCCAGAAGTATTTGAAAGGAATGTAAATAGAATAGCTTAACCATAGCCAAATGTCTCAATTAGTTAATACTAAAATGTAATGTTTTCACCAATTTACATTACTGCTTTATATACAAGACATAAAACACACATAGTTTCTATCACAAAAGAATTTTTAGTCCTTAGGATTAAATAGAATGGGCATTCCAACATGAAGACCTTAAAAAAATACAGAAACTATCTTTGTTGGGTGAATGATATGGGAATGAATATGTATTCTAGCAGACAGACTTTTTTTAGGGCTCAAAATCTACAACAGGGGTCACTCTTACATGCCTGTAAGGCAGGCAGACCAGGTATAGGACTGTCAAAGAAGTACCCAGGCCTCACCAGAATGATGACCACTTGTTTGCTTCATTGTCAAGTCTTCTGCTCTTATAGGAAGAAATAAATCAGTTTTTATATAAAATTTAAAATGTTTAAACCATATGTTAAATTTAGTATTTTATGTAAATTTAAAATGTTTATATAATTTTTAAAAATGTTTAAAAACTGATTTGATTCATCCAGCTTTTTTTATCTCAAATCTAGAGATTACTGAAAAGGAAGGACCGTGGGGACAAAATCTTGTGTCCATAGCAGTTCTACCCTAAATCCCAACATGGAGTCACTTATTAAAGATATATTTACAAAAGGCCTACTATGTGCTAGACCCTATATGGCCATTGGTACTACCACATATACTATATCCTTAGTCAATTCTATTATTGTTATTCATGTATTTAATAAAATAATGTAATAAAAGTTGTTATAGCATAAAGTCAATGGAAGATCCTGAATATTTACAATCATGGAAACCAAAACCTTGCTTCAGGTTAGGAAATTACTTATATAAAATAAGAACAACAAGACCAAGATTACCATCTTTGTCTTGAGATTACCCCTACCCGGCAAAAAAAAAAAAAAAAAAAAAAACAAGAAAAGATTTCTTTCATCACTTGTCTACCACTTCCCAACTAAAAGAAAGAAAACACCATTATGTAATCATTACTCACTCACTATAGGTATTAAGGGTAATCATTCTCAAGTACACTTGTCTAATTTACATGCCATGGTATATGTCCTGTGGGAAAACAGCAGGCACCTTCTGCCTGCAACAGCACATATCTGTCTAAAATGTTGGGTACTAGAAGATAACAAAGTGACACTCTAATGTTAAGTTCACAATTATGATTGAAAACCATGTAACTATGTAGAGAAATTTGTGTTTTCATTATTTTTCATGTTGCTACAACCAAAACAAAAGTTTATTCCCTCTTTTCAATTAACATGGAAAATCTACTAGTCCAAGTACTAGACATTTATCTTTGCACAGATCTAACCAAATACCATGATTAAAATGAGATTTACTAAAACAAATATGGTTCAT